TGATTGGTTAATTATCACGGGTAATCACGGGTAGATCCATCAAAATTAGCCAATCAGACGAACTTCTTCCTTTGAAATTTGTACCAATCAGATTAGTAAAATTTGTGACTATTGCGAATTTGTCTTACATTGATTGGTTGATTTATTTAGAATGTATAATAGTTAAAATGTTATTTACTTTGACAACACTCTTGCGGTTTTTTTCTTTATTATTGCGGTTTGAAAATTTGTATTTACACGCAACAAGATCTTAATTTCAAAGATCCAGAAATGGTTTTTTAAGATCCAAAAATAGGCAAAACTTTTACTAGTTGCAATGCCAAAAGTTTGTTTATTATTATAATAGTTAAAGTGCTATTTACTTTGACGAAGCCTCTTCTTAATATTGCGGTTTGAAAATTTGTATTTATACGCAACAAGATCTTAATTTCAAAGAGCCAGAAATGGTTTTTTAAGATCCAAAAATAGGCAAAACTTTTACTAGTCGCAATGCCAAAGGTTTGTTTATTATTATAATAGTTAAAGTGCTATTTACTTTGACGAAGCCTCTGCTTTTTGTTCTTTAATATAGTGGTTTGAAAATCTGTACTTACGCTCAATAAAATCTTAATTCATAGATCCCAAAATAGTTTTTCAAGATCCTAAAATGTGCGAAACTTTTACTAGTAACAATGTTGGAGATTTACTACGTAGAATTAGAGCACTGCAATATATGACTAGAATGATTTGTAAAATATTCATAGCTTGATAAACTGTAGACAAATATGAAATAGCTAATTAAAGGTGTAAAGGACGATTAAGACATTTAGTATAAATTAAAATTTTGTTTTTTTTTTAATAAAAAAAAGGCTTTATAAGTATTTTTTTATAACGATTTAATATTTGTACTATATAGAACTATTAGATAGATACAATACTGCAGTATGTTTGGGTCAAATAATAAATAATATGAATGGATTATTTAATTCATAATATTATAAATTAAAAGTATGTAGTAATAATGTGTGGTCTTGTAAATATTCTTGTAAAGTTTCTTGTAAAGTTTCGTTAATATTACTTGTATGTTAAATTTTTTAATTAATCTGATTGGTTATGCAGATTCTCGTGATTTTTGTTTAACAATTTTATTGGTTAATCTATTTTTAGGTATCACGAAGATCACATTCAAATTTAGGTGACATATTTGAATTGTAAAAATCCGCCCATATGTATTCAAAGATATTATCGTAATTCATTTTTTCTACCAAACCACAGTATAATGGTTATCACTACCCCGACAATATGCATTCTTGGTTGCGGTACCATGGGCAAAGCTATCTTAACAGGAATTTTAAACGATATGAACGGAGTTATTAAAAACAATTATTCAGTTTCTGGTGCGTCGTTTAAGCCACGAAAATTTATCGCGTGTGTATCAGGAGACGAATCAGCTCAGAAAGTGATCAATCTTTTCGGAGAATTGGTTACGGTGGTGGCTGGGCAAAATGCAAAAGGTGTTAGTGAAGCAGATGTTGTGTTATTATGGTAATTTTATAAAGCTTTAATCAGGCATATAAACAGGCAATTTATTGATGTATTATTCCTTCCAAAAGTACAAAACCTCAAATAGCAAAAACAATTTTAACCGACGATGGTATGGCCGAAGCGCTAGAAAACAAATTAATTATTAGCATTTTAGCTGGAGTATCGATATGTCAATTAAAAGAATGGGTCCCCACTTCAACCAAGATCATACGTGCTATGCCGAATACTCCTTGCATGGTTATATGAATTTCGTTATAATATGATCACTTTTGAGTAATCATTATACCTGTTCATTTTTCTTATGCGAATATGAATTATTATTCATATTGTAAATTTGTTAGATTCAAGAAGGTATGACAGTATTAAGCTGTCCCACCAATGCTAACGCTGATGACAGAGCTTTTGCAATGTGGGTATTTTCTGCATTGGGTAGGGTGAGAGTTTTGGATGAAAAGTACTTGGATACTGTTACAGGACTATCAGGGAGTGGACCAGCGTTTGCATGGTAATATACTAATGTAGAACGAATTTTGCCATCTTCCATTGTTAGTAATCCAGCAATTGTACA